CAATTCAAATCAGCTTAAATGGCACAAGAATTAATTCATTAATTTGATTTTCCAGTCTAGGATGAAAGTGCTGATCTGGCAAAATTGGGTAGCTTTTAAAAGTGAAAGGAACCTCTCCATCATTCAGTTTTACTTTCTTCTTTGTTAGCTTCTTTCTCAGGCAGGCTTTGCTTAAATAATAAAGATATTTTTCAGCAGCTATGAGGTTGCACTACTACTAAGTGGATACTAGCTATAAAGCAAATGATATTAACCCTTATAGTACATGATCCTAGAGAAGCTAAGTAACAAGGTGAACCCTAAGAAAAACATATATAGATCAACCTTGAAATGGGAAATAGTCAAGATCACCTGACAAAATTTGGAGCACGGAGGGGGGGGGGGGAAGGGAGGGTGTAAAGAAAAGAGGAAAGAAAAGGGAGACGGGAAGTGGGGAGGAGAACTTGAGGGAACAGGATAGTTAAGATGGAGTAAGGACAGAGATGAGAAAAAAAGAAAGAGATATTTTGATTGAGGAAGCCATTATGAGGCTAGAAAGAAGCCTGGCACCAGAAAAATTCCCAGGAATCCACAAGGATGACCCCAGCTAAGAGGCCAAGCAATAGAGGAGAGGGTACCCAAACTGTCCTTTCCCTGTAGTCAAATTGATGAATCTCTTAAATATCACCATAGAACCTTCATCCAGAAACTGATGGAAACAGAGGCAGAGACCCATACTGGAGCACTGGGCTGAGCTCCCAAAGCCAGTTGAAGAGTGGGAGGAGATTAAGAGATTGTATTATTTTCACAACTAGCACATCAAACAGGTGGGAACTCTTCTTTCTCAAACCAGGAGGTCACTGTGGAGTCACATGTCTATCCTGAGCAAATTCTCAGTAGAGGGGAACAGTAATTAATTTATATTGTCAACCTGATGGAATTAGGAAACACCAAGGGTTTCTCGTGAAGGTTTGACAGAGGGAATTAACTAGTGGGGTGGCCCACACTAAATGTAGGCCTCGCTATTCTTTAGGCTAGAGTCTAGGAAATAATGAAAAAGGAAATGGAGAACACTGGCTGAGAACATGCATTCCTCTTTCTCTGCTGCCTGATCTACCCAGATATGAACAAGCAGCTTCATCCTCCTGCTGCTATGTCTTCACCATTAAAATGAGCCAAATCATGAGCCAAAAATAGGCCCTGTTTCCCTCTAAGTTGTTCTTGTCAAGTATTTGGTCACAGACAGCAAAGGCAAAAATTACTAATGCAGTACCTTTTCTGGTCAGACTTGCAACTGGTCCACTCCACAAGCAGAAGATGGATTCAATCATCCCTAAACTACATATACCTAAAGTGGAGGATGTGGCTCCTTATTAACAAACTAAACTGAAGATTTGGGTCAAGGAAAGCTAAAACACAAGCAAACATAAATCATGATTCTACTTGATTTCTCATCCCTATCCTCAATTCTCTTACTCGCCACAACACTTCAAAGTACAAATGCATTACAGTCTAAAGTCAAATTCCCCTCTTAACTAAAGTTTAAAGAGAGCAAACCCCTCTTTGAGTTTTGGTTTGTACATTGCTGATAATATTTGTCAAGCACCTGTGATCTGAAATAGCTCTAACTGAAATTGGGCAATTATCCCAAGCAAAAATATTAAATCTTTAATACACCACTTGTTAAAGATTGGGTGTTAAGATAGGGAGGGAACATGGACTTACTTCATCGAGAAAATCTATGCAATTTTCCAGAATCCTGAATGCAGGGGCTATCTTCCCACATGATATTATTTAGGTACTGTATGGTTATCCTATCTGGGGCAGGAAACCTCTCACACAAACTGTCTCATTTCTTACAGATAGGTTTGAGTCCTTGCTGCCTACCAGAAACAATCTAAGTTGTGTGGAATGCACAACTGAAGCCCTGCCTCTCATCCAAAATTTATTAGTTTGAGTCCTTGCTGCCTACCAGAAATATTCTAGGTTGTATGGAACGCACACCTGAAGCCCTGCCCCTCATCCAAAATTTATCAGTCCTGTGGCTCTCAATAGATTTCCATTCCCTTTTGAGCTCTAGAGACCCAGCTCTTAGCTGCTACATTAGTGGCAAATTCTATCTAGTACAAACTTTCTTTGTCTTGGGAACAGACAGAAGCTTTTCCAGTCTTGTATTTTAGTGAGTCTTGCTTTTGGCCTTACTGAAGACTGGCTTGTAACTTATCTTCAAAAGAAGTCACTCCTGAGTAAATTGGGAGCATGGGGACCTTAGGAGAGGGTTGAAGGGCAGGGAGGGAAGCAGAGGAAAATGTAGAGCTCAATATAAATCAATTTAAAAAAGAAATAAAAATAAAATTTGGCAACACAAGTTTAAAAAAAAAAGAAGTCACTCCTTATTGGGCAGTGGTGGTGCATGCCTTTAATTACAACACTCAGGAGGCTCAAGGCCAGCCTAGTTTAGAGCTAGTTCCAGAACAGACTCCAGAGCTACAGAGAAACCCTGTCTTGAAAAAACAAAAAAGAAAAAAAGAAGTCACTCCTTATCTTTAAATATGTGTTTGTTTTGTTTTTGTAGTTGTGGGTATCAAACCTAGAGCCCTGAGCATGCTATGCAATTCATCTTTATTTCAGCTAGAAGTTTTGTTTTTTTTTTTTTGTTTTCACATTCCTAAACCAAATCTTCCTTGGAGTTTCTTTTGTGTGGACATTATGTATGGTGGGGGGGAGGCAGGGTATGTGTATGTACAGGTTGTACTATGTGCTTATGTATTATTTTTCAAGATAGTCTCTCACCGTTTGAGTTACACTACCTTTAGAGCCCCAGAAATCTATTGATCTCTGCTATTTCCCAACATTGGGATTACAAGTGTACATTGGCACACCTAACAATGAGCCTCTTCCCAGCCTGTGATGCTTCTTACTGCTGTGTTCCTATAAGCAATCAATACCTCTGCCATGTACTTCTCATGACATCATCATACTTCACTTTCCTTTGTTTCTGAACCATCAAGGAATAAACACGTACTTGCTTGCTTTGAAATTCTATGAAACTAAGATTTTTAAAGTATTCACTTTGTGGTTTTTTGTTTTTGTTTTTTGTTTTGTTTTTCTGGAATATGTCTTTAATGAAGTGAGAAAAAAATTTCTAATAAATCAATTTAACACTAGGATAATGAAGAGATTAAGAGATTAGATCATATTTCAGGTAAGAATCCTTTTGGAGGAAATTATGTGGTAGATAGATTCCTCTTCGGTCATTTAGAAGTGAGAGTGCTCACCACGAGGAGAACCATCTGAGACTCGGATCCATTGGCATCTGAAAGGAAACGTTCACTTTGAAAATATAAGTTTGAGACTAAGCCATAGCACCCAGGTTTTTGAGTGTTCCCACAACCGTCATAAAGTCTGTGTGCTTTAGAACTCTTAATCCATCCGGCCTCTATTCTGTGAATGATTCCAGCTTCTCTCATGCCAAACTGCACAATCCATTCCCCCAACAATTTGGATAAATTCATAGTCACTAATAGAAATGTGACCTATGCTAGTCTAGTTAGGATGACTCACTGTAGTTTTGTTTATAAGAGCTAGAAAATAAACTTTTCCTCCCCATATAAGTAATAAACACAGGAACACACATTGAACAGGCATCACATACCATGAGAGGAACACGTGACCAAACCTTATAAGGCAAAGCAACTGTGTCTGTCCAAGCATCATCCCGGAGAACTCCACTATTTCACAGAATAGTGGGCCAAGTGGGAACTCCTCAGCAGCAGGGTTCTAAATTAAACTTCTCTTCTGTATACAGGTAGCCAAGGATGGAAAACTACTGCTTTGGAGAAGGGTTTTATGTTTTTGAACATTTAGGAGTTACTTGTAACCAAGAAAAGAAGTTAGGTGGTAAGTTTAAATAATGCACTTAGGTGTCGGCAGGTGCTTCTTAAGGAGAACATTTACCTGAAGGTTGTTTTCTTGTTAAAAGCCTGCGTCTTGAGGCAGCATCTCTTCTGGAGCAAACATAACTACCTCTACTGTGAAAGGAGGACACTTTTATTCTTAACTAAATGCTTGTGAGTTCTGACAACTCTCTGATATTTTTAAATACTTACATTGTAAAAGATCTCAAAACGGCAGTTCTTCAAACAAACGAAAGCACTCTGCACCTGAACATTTTTTTATTTTGCACTGAAACCTCAAGTTCACTTTGTCAAAGTGCCAAAGTTACTGTGACCACTGCCTCATTCACACCTGCTTTGATGTCATCAGTGGAGATAAAGTGAAAGACACTGAGAAGCTGAAAGTGCGTTGTTTCGTCTGTTATGTTCAGCCAACCAAACAAAAGGCCAGATGGCTCCATTTTCTCTGTGGCCTCCCACATATGTTCCTATTTCATAGAGTTAGCTGTCACTACTGCTTCTGAACTCTCAAAACTCCCTTTTTATTCATCCTAGCAAAGGAGACATATAATGAATCTTGGCAAGATTTACCTAGTCCATTTTAATCTCTAAAAAGTACTATTCTCATACCAACCTAAAAAGAACACATTTGGTCCTAAGTTTTTTGTGGGGAGCACCTTCCAGTGAAAAGGGGTCTGCCTGTAATCTCAGCATCTAGGATTCCAAAAAAAAAAAAAAAAACTATGATTTCTGATATAATAAAATAGTCAAAGAATTATTTTTGAAGACTCTGGTAAGAAAACAAAGCACACCATGCCCAATGAGTGCCTCACTTACAGAATCATGACTCCATGTGCAGCCTACTCTGTAAACAAACCAATAGGATCTTAAAAAAAAAAAAAAAGGTCAGATTCTTCAGTAACTTGTAAAGTTTTTTTTTATAAATTAACCTAAAGTGTTTTGAAAAAACAATTATTAATTGTTTGTGGCTTAGCTTTCTTGTCCAAACTAAAAGACCCTCATTTGATCTTTTATAACATCTTTCCTTAGAGATAATATGCACAGACATTTGTCATTTGTCTCCATCAGGTAGTTTTGAAAGAAACACATCCTTCATTTTTTATTTTTGAAATGTATTTTTAAGGTATTTAATGGGAAACCAGATCTTTTTAGATAAAAAAAAAAAAGTGAAGACAGATTCTAAAAGACTTGTTACCTTGTAATTATTCAAAGGTTTCAGTCTGAAAAGTAAAATGGGTAAAGGCCCAAACTAAAGAGAAGAGTTAGAAACAATAAGTCTCATCATTTAGCTTTTTCTGATTAAAAAAAGGGTTTACACTGCTATATGCGAGGAAAGAAGAAAGGAGGTACAAATTTAGCTGCAATAGGACCTGGTGTTCTATAATATAGGAAGCAAAACATTTGTCTATCACATGAATATGACAGTGAGTCACCAAAACCACAAGCTGCTTTATTCACACAGATGTCAGTTAAAATACACTTCCTCTTAAAATAGCAAACATTGAGGGAAGGCACTATAAGGGCTTAAGAGTAGAGTCATGACTCCTGAGAGAAAAGAAAAAGTCAGATTCTGGGGCCCACAGCTGAAGGTCTGAGAGGGGCATCAGTAGAGGTAAAAGGTGAGAAACAGAAAACCAGAGGTGGAATGAATTGTGCACGTGACAAATTGTAGCGAGCTGCATGAAGCCACATCTGATAATCAGCTCCTAATTATGGCTAAGACCTGACTCATGCTATTATCACACAATGATCATCAGCTGCTTGCACATGCGTGGGCCTATGGGCGGTGCCCACCTGGCAATCCGGGATTGGTAGCCCATGCCTACTTAAGGGCTGGGAGAGGTTTGCCCAGAGAGAGAGGAGAGAGGAGAGAGAGGAGAGAGAGGAGAGAGAGGAGAGAGAGGAGAGAGAGAGNAGAGAGAGAGAGAGAGAGAGAGAGAGAGAGAGAGAAAGTGAATAAAGTCCTGGAATAAACTGCAGTGAGAAGAGCTCCGGGTGTCGCGTCATCCTTGCGGGTTGAGGGTGGACGTGACAAGAAATATACCTCCAGAGGGCCTTGATAGCATGATCTCGATCTAAATGCAAATACATAATAAGAAATGTCTTCAAAAATAAGATTATGGGCCTAGTAACATGCAGAAGTTCCCTAATTTGCTCATTTTTTGTACTCTACTAGCCCACTGAGTGAAGGTCAGGGAAACAAAGTGTGCTCTTCCCTGCCCTGGTCTCAGGCAACACGACGTAGATGGCGGATCAAAGGGAACTACTGTGGAAAGAGCTTAGTGAAGCAGAGTTGACAGTAGGTCTTGTTGTTCTGCTCTCGGAAGATGCCTTTTGACAGCTGTGTCAAGCAGAAAGCACACACAAAGTGCTCAGGATGAAACTTGTGCCCCATGGCACTGATGCAGCGGCCAGTAATGGGCTGCCCGCAGCCATAGCAGAGGGTCCCTCGGCGTTGGTGGTAATGGAGTTCACAGAATGGACGGCCATCCAGTTCAAAGAAGGAGCCAGAAGAAAAACTGCTGAAGCAGTCCTGAGGATGGAGTGAACACAGACAAAAGAAATGCACATCAAGAGGTAATGCCACCAAATAAGATGTTCATCTTCAAAATTCTTGACAGTTACCTGCCAGTTGTAGGATTTATCTCAGGTCCTTGACGAACAAAGGCTAGATTTACACATTGCAAAACAGACCAGCAAAAGCCCTATTTTTCTTTTTAAATAAATAAATAAAACTAACATGGATTCCTCACTTTAGACTAGAAACTATCTCACTATGTAGCAGCTAGTCCTCTTGGGGAAGAATACGATTCGATTTTCCCTAAAACTGAAGGTAATTGAGCATACAAACCCCACACACAAAGCACTCTGGGTGCCAGACAGTGTTCATTGCTGAAAGATAGTTTTCCAACACTGGACGGTTGCAGCCACCACACTTAGGTGAGAACATGGCTAAGAAATCTTTTCGGCAATATGGCTTATTGTCCTTCTCATGAAAACCTGAAAAGACAAAATCAAAGATTCATAGTTTCAGCCTTTGAGTACTTTAAAGCTACATTAGAAGCAGAGATAAGGTCATTATTGTAACCTTTCCCAACTTTAGTATCCCCATGTTCAAAATGCAGGTGCCTTTTAGCATTGAACCTGGATCAGAGTCTAAGTACTAGGGACTATTTCTCCTTAACACCTTGATACAAAGTGTTCCCTTAGACCTAAGTTCTATTCCTGCCACTGATACAACTGTAATTCAGCTCAAAAGGTCACCTTTCTATTGGCATCAACCCAGCCCTTCTCTGTCAATCCATCTTCATAGCACTTACTTTATCTTAAAACATTGTTATAGGCTGTCTTCCCTCACTGAAAAATTAGCTCTGAGAGAAACTAGATGCCATTGGTCTTGCTACCATTACCCCCCACACACAATGTTTAAAATACTTTAAAATAAGATAACACTAAATAGTAATTAACCTTGATAAGTTATCCATAGTTAACTAGTCAGTGGAGGAGAGAAAACTCACATCCCACCTCTAACTTAAATGCATCCAAAACTTGACCTTTCCATGGAAACTGATAGATCAACTAAGTGCAAATATCCTAACCAAAACTGTATACACATGAGAAGCCACCCTGTGCCTCACCAGCCTAGTGGTATGAAACAAAGTGTGTTTAGTGGGTTGTTCAAGCTGTCTACTCCAGGAAGATTCTAGAAAGGTCCTGTGATCATAGTAGCCAGATCACAAAACTGTAATAGGATATCAGAGTAGGACCTAAATCCCATGGCTGTTCTTTCCATCTTTCGTTCTTGTCACTGTTGGATGGAGCTTGCTTCACTCAATTATGTTTTCTCTAAAACAAAAATGGGTAAGTTGTCAGAATCGTAAGGCCTAGGGATCTAAGAATCCAACCTAGCAATTTCATATCTGTCCTGTGTTATTCTTTGAACCCCACAGACTCAGAAAGCTTACTCTACTTTTCTCTTTTTCTTCTGACCCATTGAGAAGATATCTAGAGTCTGTTTCAGGTAAAGTGAATGTCAACCCCACACCGCCATCATCACTACTTAAGGAAAGAAATACCCACAGGTATCTTTTGGAGTAAAACAGAATTCTTTTTCACTCCAGCATGTCTCACTCACCTGAAAATTTGTTAAAATGCGGATTGCTAGGTCTTCCCTCCTCTCCCCACCCCCCCCAATTTTTTTTTATTTATGGCACTAAAGATTTTGCATTCTTAACAAGTGATATAAGTTGGTATTTCTTAAGAAAGCTGCAAGACATACTCCCTAACCTAGGTATGAACCCCATTTAGGAATCTGCAGAGCAGTTGGTCTCCAGAGTGAGACAGTAGGAGAGTAACACTCTCCATTTCTACTTGGGTGAGTCTCAGGAGGGGAATCAAAGCAATCTATCCACCAAAATTGCTATAATGTTTCTGTGCATAGTAACCCCCTAAATTGGAAAAGTTTCTGCACTGTCCTGAAGGCTCGCTCAGGGGCCAATTACCTCAAGAGAATGAATGAAAGACACTGACAATTAAAAGTTACCACAGAGACATGGGAGAGTGTTTTCACTCCAGTGTCTCTTAGCCACAGGGGAAATCAAAGAGCACCTGCATGGCCGAGATAATGAACAATTAAAAAGAAAGATGGGAAGCACTGAGGACATAGGTCCCTAGGAAAAAACGCTAAGGGCCAATGCATTTAAAAACTTTAGCCTTAAAGAGGGATTCTCCGAACTGAAGAAAAATGCAGATGAATTTAATTTCCCAGGAGGTTCCATTTAACTGTTATTATCAAAACTCTTTATGTGTCTGTGTCCTGGAATAAAAGTCAGGATGCTATCTAATTAATGAACTGACCATATGACAGTGGACCCATTTATGAGAAAGCCAGGAAAAAGAACATGACTATAACCCAAAAGGAACTTCTAAGTAGTAAATGGCTCCATTGCCATTGCCTCTATTAATATATGTTTTCAGTGTAATTTCATGTTTATTTCATATCATCATGAACCAGTGAACCATCAGATTAGGATGAGCCCAACTCAAGAACAACTAGTTATCCTTAAGGGTTGGGCATTTTTCTTTTGTATGCAACTATGGCTGTTCTTCAAATATTCCCTTTCCTGTTTCCAGGCAATTTCTACAACATAATTATCAATAGATGGTGCTGTTCACCCTCTCCTTATAGGTCATCAAAGATAAGCCAAAGTATGATTTCACAAAAGTCCAACTTAGGGAATCATTGAGTTCATTGTGTTTATAGAGTATGGGTAATCCCAAAGCAGCCACACCACCAGATAGCCTCCCTGAACATGGATAACAACTTTAGTACAGCAGCACAGAGTTTCCTCTTCCACTAACGTTAAATATGCTGTATGCTCTAGCACCTCTTGAGAACATGAGACCATGTACCACACTAGAGCAGAATCACATTCAGTTGGCCAGTTAGCCCTTTATTCTATGAAGGAATATCTATAGTCAATAAACTCAATGAACGTCTCATGTAGGTAGCCACCCCTGCTCAGATGAAGAGGATGGCTGTTAAGCTTAGAGCAAAGAATTCTCCATCAGACAGTATTCATTTAATGGCTATTTATTAATTTAGTCTAATTAATTTTCATATTTCTATTGCTACTGATACAGGAAATATGTATCATTTTGACGTATTAAGTGCTTTGAACAAGCTCCAATGGACAAGCAAATCACTACAAAGAACTTTGTTAGTGCCTTATGTCGGTACTATCATGTCTGACTCTATTGCCAGTAAAGTATAAGTTGGTACTGAGAAGGTAAGGAAACTTAGCAACAGGAGAATTAAATCTCAGCCAAAGAGTACTTAGAATATGTTAACAAAAGTGTGATGTGGCACTTACAGAAATGAGACCTGAGTTCAAATTCTTTCCATCCCTTCAATGATATCTCAGTCAATGAAGTGCTTGCCTTGTAAACACAAGGCCAGGAACTGTGTTAGATCCCCAGACAGAACCCACCAAATAAGTAAATAGGCAAGCAAACAACAAACAAATAAAAACTGGGCATAGTGACACACATTTGTAATCCACAACTGGGGAGACTGTTGGTATCGTGGGGCTCCAAAAAGAGTCAAGCCTACTCGGCAAGCTTCAGGCCTTTTCTCACTCACTCACACACACGTAGTTATGGCCCTGAGGAATAATACCTAAAATTCCCTCTAGCATCCACATGCATGTGTGTTCCTGGAAGGTGTAGAGAAGAGACTGGGAGACATCATCACCTAAACAGTAAACCTCAAACCAGCCCGAGCTACACGGCACTCCAATGCTCCAAAACCAAAATGAACAATAAAAGAGGGACAAAATGTCAGGACAATTCATAAAATAAATCCTTGCAAACTGTTAAAATGGGTCACATATAGAAGACAAAACAGGGCTGGTGAGATGGTTCAGTGGCTAAAGGAACTTACCACCAAGCCTGAGGACCTACGTTCAATCATTGGGACCCACGAGGCAGAAGGAGAGAACTGACTCACCCTGTTTGCTAACCTCCATATGTATAAAATGGTACGCTCACATTCACAGGCAAAATAAAAATGCAATAAAAATTTGGGTAGTATACAAAATGAAAATAAAGGCTTAATGGAAACCTCAATTATGGAAGCTGAACACAGTCCTAAGAATTAGGAATGCAAACATTTCCCACTGTATATTAATATACAATTCCTATAATTCTATGTTGAGGCAACTCAAGGGCAGTGACAGAATAAAAACATGTAAGGAATTATTTATGTTATGAAAGAATCACAAAGAAAATGAGAAAAAGAAAGGAGATGACAGTATGAAATATTAGTAAGGATTTTTCTGGTGGTTGCTGCTTTGTTTGTTTGTTTTTATAATGTAAAGTACAAGAGTGGCCTCTAACATGACAGATCTAAGGCTGGAAGGGATATCCACTTTCACTGCTGCGGTCATCAGCATGAGCTCTCCCAGTACCTGAATTCAAAGTACTTCTCAAGTTTAGACAGGACTGGCTCAAGTCTGAAAAGCTATTGGATGAGCTGATGCCCCATCATGTCACAAAACACAGGGACTATTTGAAACTACCTAGTGGAGACTCTGGGTGCTCTAGCATACCTAAGAAACAAGTCGAGCTCTCCACTGGGAGTGGGGAAAGGCACATTAGGAACGGCTGACAAGTTGACATCTTCTCTACCACTGAAACTCTCCCACCTGGTTAAACACAGTGGGTCTCAACAATCAGACCAAAAAAGAAAAAATCAACAACAACAAAAAGTGTGGAAAGGGTACTTATCAGGAGGAAGAAGGAGGTAAAATCAGGTAGATGGGAGGTTAGAGCGGGAAGTTACAGTAATCAGGATGCCCATTATACATGCAGGAAGTGATCAAAACACATTCAAAGAAAGGAGAAGTGGGGTCCAGGAAATAGAGGATCTAAAGACAAAGGTAGTAACAGCAGATTCCAGGAATAATTTAGGGGAAAGAACTAAAATGACTGCTACTTAGCAGGAAGAAAGCATTTCAGGTTAGAGCAAACTCATCAATAAAATAAAATGGATCAGGCTTATTAGCAGATGCAGCTGACTATTTTGATAAGGATTTTATGGTTCTATCAGGTAAATTAGTGGTAAGTATAGTGTAAACTAAACTAGAAGAAAGCAACTCAAATTTTAATTCCAAGGGAAAAAATTGGTTCATACTTGTAAGTAACAGTGACACATTGTGTGTGGGAGAGGGGGTATGTATGTGTCTTTGCATGTTGGTTACATATGCCATAATTCATGTGTAGAGGTAACGACAACTTCTGGTTCAGTCCTTTCCTTCCATGTTCGAGACAGTCTCTTCTGTCTGCACTGTGTGCATTAGGCTAGCTGCCCTGCAAGTTTCTAAGGATTGTCCTTAGAAACCTCACATCTTTGGAAGGAACACAGACTTGTGCTACCAGCCCTAGCTTTTAAGCAGATTCAAGTCTTCTTCATAAATGTGCAGCAAGGGCTTCCCCTGCCAAGCCATCTCCAGAGGTACAATCTGTTTTTAAATGATGGATTTCCACTTCTTTAATTTAAAAAAAAAATCAATTTAAAGCAAAAGTAGTAATGATAGGGAAAAGTAAAGAGACAACATCTAGGCATGAAACTGACTTCTAAGCGGCAGTGCTGAGAACAGAAACTAAGCAGACAGCAATGCCAAGGAAGAGTGCTGCTGGCCTTCCCAGCTCTCAGCCTGCAGTCGTAGCCTCCCACTTACCTTCTGCACCAAACACCTCTCCACAGTGAGAGCAGAAGAAGTGCTCTGGGTGCCATGTCTGGTTCATTGCTGTCAGCACTTTCTGGAAACGGCACACATGGAGAGGTATTAGAAGGCTCCAGAGTTGTAAAACAGGGCCATTGCTCTTCATAAGTAATCAGATACTACATGAAAGCTGACAGGGCTGGGGAGTTACTCACATCCATGATGGGAGCAGCACAGTAGGCACAACGTGGAGAGAACAGGTGGTGGTAGTCCTTGGAACAGTAGGCCAGGCCATTCCGTTCAAAGAAGGGACTGGAGCCAATCTCCTCCTTGCAGTGATTGCAAATGAAGTGCTCTGGGTGCCAGGATTGCCCCAGAGCATGGATCACCTAGGGATACCACAGAGCCTGGCATGGCAGTGCAGCAGAATGCACCTCTAGAGGGCACTCTGCATGCTGCATTCCATTAGACAAGACCTCCTGGGAAAACCTAGGTTACATTAAAGACATCTGCAACCATGCTTAAAAGAATAGTAAAAGGGACCTGCCATGCTGATTAATCAAGAAGCCAAGCAGAATTTACTTCTCAGCTCTGAGTCTCTGCACACCTTGCCTCGCATCCTTCCAGAATCAAATTGGAAAGCCCTGCGCTGTGGATTTGGTAATAATGGTTCAGAGTTAGTCTGAAGAAATGTCTGAAGAGAGAAAGCAGTTTGAAAGGTCATCTCAGAAATGGCAGTGAATAAAAGTGATTAGGAATTCAAACTCAGAAGGCAGACCATCCTCAACTCAAATGTTCCCTTTGCTTCTTTCTTACTAGACTTTGATCTTTCCAAGCAACGTCTCTGAGCGCTTGACCTCCTTGTTTTTGCAAAAGATATGATAATAAAATCTCCTTAAAAGATTGATTAAACTACTAACTGTAGAAATACTAATAAATCACTTAACTTAGGATCCAGAATAATATAAGCCATCAGTGGTTGTTAACAAAAAATTAAAATATCTTAGAATACAAAGAAAAGGCCATTCTTGGACACCCACAGACACAGACTGATTGGACCAACATCCTGGATTACCCTACCTTCCCAGCAATTGGCTTTTCGCAGGAAGCACAGTGGCCCTTGGGCACGGTGGCAATCCCAAGATCTTGTAGTTCCTGTTCCAAACCCCCAAGCATTGAGTCCAACGATGCCTTGTGATCCTGTTTGTCTGGTGAGGGTTTCCTGCTGGCATCTGCTGTCACTGAAACCTTGGACAAGGAAAGAACCATGAATAGAAATCAGTCTGTACAGACCTTTATTCTTCTTGGCATTTGTTGTATACAACCTATTCCTATACTTCTAATGTCTGATCTTGTCTTTCCCTAACTTTTCTTCAAGGAACTGGAGACATCCAACATGAACATAAATAAAAATACTTTTATTTCCATATCATTTTAAATTCCTTGAGTGAAATGAAATTTGATCATTTATCATTGATTTGTAAATCCTCTGTCTAATGAAAAAATTGAGTATAAAAAGATTATATTTTTGTAGCTCTTACAATGACCTGACCCCAGATGAATATTAGTCATCTCTTTCTTTTATTCATTTATTAATTGTCAAGCACCTAATTTGTCACAGTCTGCATTCTAGAACTTGCTATTAAGCAGTATATAAGCATACCAAGTTTCTAGCCTCATGGAATTTTTATTCTATGAGTAGAGGGAAGCAGATGTGCAACACTTTATAGTGACATTTCACTTGTGTTTTCATAAACAAAGTTCGCCTGAAGATCAGAGTGCAAAGTAGCCACAATAGTCAGCCATACAGGCCAGATGGTGGTGACACACATCTTTATTCCCAGCAGCAGCCACATTAGTTAGCCATAGAGGCCAGAAAGTGGTGGTGCATGCCTTTAATCCCAGCACTAGAGAGGAATATAAGGTGAGATGAGACAGGAACTCGCTCTCTTTCAGTCTGAAGATTTTGTAGAAGTAAGAGCTCTCTAGCGGTTGGCTGCTTTACTTCTCTGATCTTTCAGTTTGAACCCCAATATATGTCTCTGGGTTTTTATTAGTTATGCTATACTACTTTGAAATGATTTGTACAATGTTTAAAGACAGTGTTAACAGAGAAGGTAATGAGATTACATTATTAGAAGATAGATCCAAACTTGTTATTATAAATCACTCATCAGTTGTACACAGACACACACACACACAAAAGCCTTTTTTTCCTCCATCATTTCATGTCCTTTCCAATGTTTATCTGCTCAAATAAATAGTGTCTCAAACAGATCCACTGCCTACCCATCGATTTTTTTATAATCAAATGGATAGTCACAGTTTCACACCTACTAATTAATGTCTTCCCAATCTCATTTTCTATTTCACAGTTAAAAGCCTTCTTGTTGGAGCAGGCAGGTTCCCAATATTCTCCTGGATAGTTCTGCTAATATCTGCTTTCTCTAGTTATTCAATCATTACTGTCTATAAAATCTTCACATTATTTTACAACTCATTATGGTAATTTCCCTTAAAAAATTTATCCTCAAACATATTTCTTTCCTTCCCTTTATATAATGGAAGATAGTGTTTGAGAGGTGATGTGTATGCTATGAATATCATTGGTTAATAAAGAAACTGTCTTGTGCCTGCACAGGGAATAGAGGTAGGTGGGGAAACTAAACTTAATCCTGGGAGAAAGGAGACAGAGTTTAGGGGGAAGCCATGGAGCTGTTGGCAGAGACAGACAGGACAGAATTTTACCCAGTAAGCCACAGTCACGTGTAGATACACAGATTAAGATTAATGGAGATGGGTTAAAATACACATGCAAGAGTTAGCCAATAAGAAGCTAGAGCTAATGGGCCAAGCAGTGATTTAAATAAGTTTCTATGTGATTATTTAGGGGCTGGGTAGCCGGGAACAAACAAGTGGCCTTCTCACTACAGAGAGGTATCTATCCAAAAGATCAATGTCCAGAGGTACCAAAAATAATTAATTTTACATTTGAAAAATTTGAAAAATAACTAAGTAAAAATATAACTGTATATTCTCTACATCTACGTCTCTTTGCTTACATATTCCAAAACATTTCCAGATACATACATAAAATGCAGTACATACTGATGACCTGCAGGGGGCAATATAGGACTATCTGGGACAAATGATGGACCTTGTTCACTACAAACATTTTTGTACTTTTGATTTTGTGCAATGTATATGCATTGTTTAGTTTTAAAATATACATTTTAAGTTAAAATATAAACACACCAGGACATAATTTAAGAAGAAACATTATAAATTTCCTAATTTGTTTTTCTAGCATCATCAAGTGTGCAGCACAGTCAATACTCTCAACTTTAGTGTAGATGTTAGCTAACTACAGAGTATTCGCCAATAGAGAGCCTTGTTTGTGACGTTTATTCATCTGTCCCTCCAACAACTGTGTATGACTTCCTCACTGTGTGCTAGGCACCATGTGTGACGTGGGAGTCCCATGCTGTACCGTCCTGTACTCTTCTATCATACACACTTTAACAGTCTGCCTTAAATATTTCATACTGATTCCATGAGTATGCCCCTTAACATGCAACCAGATTTTAAAAGGCTGGATTCTCTGTGTTAAGGATTCTAGATCTGTGTCCTTGATAAATGCTTAAGACTCCTGATCTGATTTCTGCTCTCTGTCAGTCTGATATTTTCATTTTACAGACAAGAAAAAAGAGCTAATTTTATCTCAGTATGGTCTCAAAACTCATCTTTCTTCCTTTGGCCTCGCTCGCTCTGTCTCAGCCTCCTGACCTCTGTCCTCCTCAGGCACACATGTTTACTAGACCTCTGCATCATCATGCCTCCAGGGGAGCCTTTGCCTTAGGGATCTCTCCAATCCTTACCATTCTGTGTCCATCCTAAATCCCATCACAACTGCTCTGACAAAATCTGATTAACCTTTCAAAATCCCTGGGCTGTGCTCTGCTCATTTTGGAAAATCACCAACCTTTTATTCTAAAACCATTGCAGAGTTTTATGACTGGCTATACCATAAATACCCCAATCTCTTCCATATCAAGGCCTATACCATGTCACCATTAATGTCCAAATGATTTTCTCTGCTGAATTAAATTTAATCTAGGAAAATGAACACCACCTTAGAATTCCCAAGCAGAGGATAAGAGACTGACCACTACCATGCTAACTCGGTGCCTCTCTGGAACCCAGACTTTATGTCCCACACTGTACCCACCTTGGACTGCATTTCACTCAGGTGGGCCATGAGCTCATCCAGCTGAGCAGCTGCTGAGGTTTTAGGAGGTGGTACTGATTCTTTTGGCTCTTGGACCTCACTACAGACAGAAGAAAAAAGTTATATTAACATATAAAAACTCAAATAAATATTAAGTCCCATATAAGTATCAGAGAATACGATTTTACCTACTAACCTATTTGACATGAATCTAAAAATCAGAGACAGGGAGTATTTTAAAAATAGCTGCTACTCTAAATGTTTAAATAAAGCCTCTCTGCATTGTGTATCTGTTTCTTCTTGACCACCTAAATAAATAAATAACCTATTTGTTCTCAAGTGTATGAAGGAAAGTGCTAGACATGTCTCCAATTTCTAGATTCCAGGCAACCTTAAAACAGAGCTTTAAAGCCATAGCTAGCATTTTAATAGAAAATTTTAAAATTATAAGTCATATGCAATAAAAGTTTTATAGGTAACCAAGAGATATGAATAAACACTCCTCTAAAAATAACTACCAGTCATCCAGTATACAAAAAGGTGCTCAACCTCACTAATTTTCAGGAAAATCCAAATCAAAGTTACTACAAGATACCACTTTACACTCACCACAGCATGGAGCAAAGTCCATAAAAAGAATAGAGAAAGGAAAGCAATGTAATCTACCAGTGCTTTGCAGGTCGGTGTAGTCACCCTGAGAAACTATATGAAGTCTTTCCAAGACAATGAAAACTAGAACTATCATATGACCCAGCAGTCCCTCTTCTGTGAAGGAAAAAAAAAAAATAT